ATGTTGGATGCCTTCCGACCTGAGGGGCTCATCTTTCAGCATCATATCTTTTAGCCTTTTGTTTCTGTCCATGGGGTTTTCTTGGCAAAGACACTGGAGTGGCTTGCCAGTCCCTGTTCCAGGTGGATCGCGTTTAGTCAGAACTCTCAACTATGACCTGTCCATCTTGGGTGTCCCTGCAAGGCATAGCCCATAACTTCTCTGAATTACTCAAGCCCCTTCACCACGACAAGGTAGCAATCTGTGAAGGGGTAAGGTGAAGGGGGAAGGTGGCTTACAGAAGGGGTGTGTATTCTTAGGTAACCTTATAAAGTAAGACTTGAGCACTTCTGCCTTTTCTTTGTCATCTGTTACTATTTTTCTATCTCCGCTTCATAGCTGAGACATTTCTTTTCTCCCTAGTTTGCTATGCACATACATAAAGAATGCTTTTTTGTTGCTAACCTCAGCTCATTCTCGGCTTATGCCATCCTAATGCCATCCCTGCAATCGCTATCTGTCTGTACACTTCACTTTGTGGCCTGGCCTTCCTGTTTGTGTCCTTCAATGGGATTTATATAAGTATTGACTTACCATTCAGAAGGTGATTCAATGAGTCTACTCTGTAGTTAATATTAGGAAGAAGATGTCACTCTTTCTATGCTTAAGTATAGTGTTCAAAAGTTCTTGTTTTGCATAGCTCTTAATTACTACTGCCAATAGTGCTCAGTCCAGGGAAGGTACAATAAAGCAAGTATCGCTTATGTATCATGTAGATTTCTGGATTCCTTTAAAAGTTTCGCTCTCTAGCTTCACCAGTTTCGGCCCTACATAATTTATACACTGGTTTCTCCCATTTGTTTTACCGAGATCACTAATGATTATTATTGGAGCTCCCTTCTGATTGTATAATTTACTGTATCATCTGTGGTCAAGTACATAACATTAGGATGTCTTTGTGCTTACCTACAACAAAAACAGAACAAACTAACTTCATATCATCTGTATCAATCTAAGATTTGAACATTAGAAGACTGAGCAGAAAGTGGACAAGTAAACCATGCAGCTGTTTAGCATTTCTAATTTAACATCCAAAATATATGCTCATGCATTTTCTATATAACATGGCTTTGTGCAGCCAGGAGATGAGATAGTAGTTCTGAAGAGGTATAGCTTAGTGGATATGTTTTTATTTACAGAATGGTGCTACGAATGTTTAACGCTTGAGATACGTGCAAGCTTGCTTTGAGAGGAACTGTCTCTCAAGTCTGGATTTAAATGCATCATTGACTAAACTCAGAATAAATCAGACATAAGTGGAGAGGTTTTGTTCTGAATGAAACTTCACTATACAAGATGATGACTGATTACTGTGTAAGTCCTTCCAAGTTACTTTGATGTTACAACCATAGCTCAGTTTTATTACAGTAGATTAATGGTTTTTACAAGTAAAAACATATTGAGTTGTTAACTATCAGAACATTTGCCTTCAACACCCAACAAAATATGAAATACATGCTCACTTTGATGAGCCTTCAAAAATTCTAGAAACTGACCAAGGTCCATGTGATAGTCATTCCTCAGTCCATAGTCACCGTGGGCTTGAAACTGTAAATCTTCAAAAGTCTGAAAGAGCCGTAAATCATCCCCATTTGCCTCAATCTCCCCACTCTCCACATGTTTGCAAGAAATGTGTTTCCAGTTTGGGTATCTAATAACATGCCAAAACTCTTCACAATTCTCTTTGACACCCTCCACACAAATGATCCCAGGTTTCCCAGTTAGACAAAAGCCAGTCAAATTTAATTTCTTGGCACAATCAAAAATCTTCTTCCTTAGTTCTTGCCTATATATGTGGTGGCTATAAATCCACATCCGCTTAAACAGCGTTTTAACTATTTTTTTATCTGGCAGTCTTTGACAATAAAGTTTACTGTTCTGTAAATAGGGCAAACTGTTGTCTCTCAGCCACTGCACAGCAGCACATATGCAAAGTTCTCCTGACTCAAAAGAAGAAATATAAGATGCGAGATCCTTGTTGAGTTGCAGTTGTTGTTGCCGATCTAGATCCTCTGATCTTGCAAAAAGCTGTGGTGCTGCACTGGGGTAGTCAGAAGGCAAAACTACTTGCAGATTTATTCTTCCCTGCAAATAAAAATAACAAAGATTACAGTTCAGTATTGGGCACCTAGACAAGTTTTATTTATATAAATAATGATGATTATATTACTGAGAAATGATGGGAACTATAAATACTTTACTTGGAAGTTTTTGCTTCAGTGAAAGCTAGGCCCAGTTCATGAAGTGGGGTGTGGCCTCCAAGCAATGACTTCGAGTTTTTCACATGCCAGAGATCACATGATCGACCAGAACACAACCAAGCAGATCATGATTTACTTGCACTGCTGCATCAGATCAGCAAAGTTTTTTGACTCCCAGGTTTTTAACAGTCACACTGAACAATGAAAATTAATATTCAGCTGTATTTTTCAGGTCCACCTTGTGAGGATACCCTTCCTGTTTAACTTCAGTGTTCCGCACCTGTAAAATATGGGTATGCTCCTGATACCGTGTTTCCTCGAAAATAAGACAGGTTCTTATATTACCTTTTGCTCTAAAAAACACAGTAGTGCTTATTTTCAGGGGGTGTTTGATGTTTTTCATGTACAACAATCTATATTTATTCAAATACAGTCATGTCATCTTCTTCTGGGTGCTGCACAATGGTGGAAGGTGGGGTTTCACTTAACTGGGGCTTATCTTTGGGGTAGGGCTTATATTACGAGCATCCTGAAAAATCACACTAGGGCTTATTTTCAGGTAGATTGTCTTATTATGATAATCAAGGATTCTTTGAACATTCTGGACTGTTGTGAACACTGACATACTAGTGTGCTCTCCTTGATTGCTCCTGTTACAAGTAGGAACAGCTAAACACACTTAAGACTACATGATTTGCTTTTCACAACATGATCAGCTGACACTCTGCCTTGTCTCTTTCCAAGGAAGCCAAAGAAAAAACACTATGGGATATTTTTCTGATTTACCATGAAAGACATAAACCAGCATGTCACTATACGCAAACTGTGGATGGAAGGTCTGTGCTTCCATTCTTCCTTCTGTAGGAAACAATTGAGACAGCATGTCACTATAAGCAAACTGTGGATGGAAAGTCTGTGCTTTGCTCAGCCATTCTTCCTTCTGTAGGAAACAATTGAGTAGCATGCACCTATACCTGTATCTCTGGCCTTTGTGCTAGAATTGCTACTCTGCAGTAACATAGGCCTACATTTGTACTACATTGCATTGCTTATGAGGTATAGTGATCAGCTCAGCTACTCCCCTCCCCCTTTTCTCCCCACATCGTTCTTAAGTGACCTTAACGTTTTTAGAAAAACAGAGAATGCTCCACAAGGCTGAAGTACACCACATCCATGAACTTTAAATGTACCCATACTTCAGCACTGCAGAAAATGGTGCACCACAATTCTGTATTCTGATAGGACCTAGTATATGCATGAAATACATCCTCCACAATATGGCAGCCTAGCTGTCTACAGCCTTAGTACAAGTGCAGGTTATAAATGAATACATGAACAGAAGTTTGAGCTGCACACAGGGCTGACTTTGAATGGTGCCTTCATTCTATGTAGATTCCACAATATATTGATCATGAATCCTTTGCCCTCCAAAGAATTAATGAGAAGGGAACAGGAGTACTTGTACTGAGCCCCCACACCCTTGAAATGGAATGCCACACATGGAATAACATCTTGCTGCACTTCCGCCATGAAATATCTATGCAACACAGATCACTGAAGGGGGAAAAAAATTCCGCTGTGCATTCAGAAAGGGTGGCTTCTGCATTCAAACCATTCTCAGTATTTCAACCCTAAGTTGTCGTATTTAGCCATTTTTGTAGTCCCACATAGAAAAGGTTTTCAATAAAATCCTACAGCCTAACTTTTGTACTTTGTTTCTCTTCTTTTCCCCCACCCCCACCCCCCTTAGTGGACAATAAGGAAACAGGCTCTCCCCCGAGATCAGTGCTGAAGGGCATGTGATGTCTGTGGGATGAGGGCAGAGCTCCTCTGCCCTGACATCATCCTGTTCCATCACATTTCTCTTTCTCCGGGTAGGAGGCAGGAAATAAAACACACTGAAAGGGCATCCTGTGCTACCACACCTACCCAAGGTACAACGAAACCAACCCTCACTCTCATAACTATGTACAGTACCTTTAAATCTGGAGGGACAAAGTGAAGAGAGTTAGAAAATGGAATAAAGCTCAGGCAAATTCATATGGGAGGAGAAGATTTTACGAGAGTCTAGACGTCCTTAAGATCTTTACATTTAAAGATCTTAAGGACATCTAGACTCTTGTAAAATCTTCTCAAGACAGCATATATACTTGAGACTGGAAATAAACAGGCATCTGGTAAAACTGACAATAGCCTAATGTTCTGGTTTGACAGTCCTACATAACATACTGGAAGCCACATTCTGAAATTGGACTCTAGTCCATTGAGTCTTTTATCAAAATTCGTGCGTTAGTCTTTAAGGTGCCGCAAGAATCTTTGTTCAAGTTGCAGCACGTTGGCTAATCCTCAAAAATTTCCAAGTCACCTGAAGTTTTTAGCTATTTTCCAAATATTGTTTTATACACACTGGCTGAAATCCTGTTGGTTAGCATGGTAGTTTCCACTGAAGTAGGTCCATTGAATCAGCAGGGATTTAGTGATTCAACTCCAACATAAATTCCTTTGATTCAAAAGATCCAACACTAGCTGCAACTTACTACACTGGTTGCAACTAGAGTGGCCCATTTGAATCAATGAATCTACAAAGCAGCTGTCTCACCAATCCCCATTGATTCAATGCATCGAGTCTAGTACAATTTACTATGCTAAGCAACAAGATTAGTGACTGATTTATGAATGACAGAGTAGGTCCACTTTTACATGTAAAATATAGTATATCAGCTCCTGTGAATCCTAAGAATAATGATCATCAACATAATCTTAGAACTGTAGAACTGGAAGGAATCTCATGGCTCATTTGAGTCCAGCTCCTGCCAAGGAGGTACAGTGGGGGAATCAAACTCCTAAACTCTGGTTCTGCAGCCAAACCACTAGGTTATGTTTCCTTGAAGGTAGACATGATTTCACAAATATTTTGTATTAAGATAAACTACAGAAAAGGGGTGGGGGAAGCAGTGAAATGGAAAGCAGATGGTCTCACCTTTGGTTCATCTGTAGTAACAGCAATTGAGTATTCAATGTTATGTAAAAGATTTTCACTTTCATCATTCAGGTACCTCTGAATAGTATGCATAATATTTTCATCTTGAAGTGTTAGTTCTCCTTTATTAGGAAACATAGATAAAAGCATTTCTAATTCTGCCATTTGAAGCTGGATGTTTTCTTTGCTGATGCTGGACATTGGCGCAGATGTGAAGCCAGCCACCTGGAGACAGAACATCAGTCAACACAAGTTCTACTGTTCATACACCTGTGAATAGCCTCCTCTAACTGACAGGAAGATTTTACAGTTTGACTAAAAGGGTTTTTTAAATTCAAATGAAATACACTTCACTTTTTATCTGTGATAAAAATTAAACCTATAATCCTGAAACAGATTAAGTTTTGCACCTAAAGAGTTCAAAGAGACTGTCTAAATAAGTAAAATCAAGGCCATGCAAAAATGTGTCCTGTTCTTTTGCTAAGGAACATAGTAAATCAGTGAATTAAGAGTCCAGTGTTACTTTCATTTATTAAGTCGTGCATTCAACCTTGTATCTATCACAAAATTACAAACATGAACAGTAATTTAAGGACGAGCTACCAGAACGAGCGTTCCGTGTCTAAGTCGCACTGACCATGTGACCACGGAAGATTGTCTTCGGACAAAACGCTGGCTCTATGGCTTGGAAATGGGGATGAGCGCCGCCCCCTAGAGTCGAACACGACTGGACAAAAATTGTCAAGGGGAACCTTTACCTTTACCTTTTACCAGAACGAAAATACACACATGCTGTGTACCACAAGGACAGCACAACAACTTTGCACTTTATCTGTCTACTCCTTTCTCCGTTGGATTAATGTCTAACTAATGACACTTAATGTCAAGTATCCAGCAACTGCCAGTGTGGGAAAACTTAATTTCGTCAAGGGCTGAGCTCCAGCTGCTAGCTTCTATGGCCTTACTTGAGAGATCTGGAACAGCTGCCTGGAAGGCAAAGACCCAAATGCAACACCAAATGATGCTGAATCATGGGTTGGTAATTCGGAAAAACCCAAGACAGGAAACTTTGAGAGGGCATAAGAAAATAATGGGAGTCCACTCTAAAATTTTCATGCCAAAGCTACAACCACCACCACCTGGCCTGAGAAAATTTTGCCCTTTTATTGTTTTGCTTTTTGTAGCTTCTAATTTTTGTTGTTGTAGTGTTTTAAACTGTAAGCCACCCGGAATACCTGGGCAAAAAGACACTACATCCATGCAGGGAGAGTTAAGTAAGCAAACAAAAGCTTTCCATGGATTCTGTCATGATTCTGGAACTTTCTGTTGGATTAACACTAATGTCTGGGGACAGCTTGGTTAATCACTTCCCCTCGGCAGGTTCATCACAGAGACAAGATACTAAGCAGCCCATATCCCTGTAGCCTTGCCTTCATCAGTGATAGTCATTTCAGGTGTCCACTTTTATTATTTTGAACAGTCCTGGGTGCAGATAATATAGTGCCTTGGGACAGAGTTGGCATACAGAGGTATACCAACTGGTAAGATGTCAGGTTTACCCCACTGGTACGATGAAGCTGCCTTTGGCCTTCATGTGCAGTCCCTTTGCATAGGGCAAGTAGCCAGGCCAACGTCTCTAATTAACCTAAATGACTATACTAGAAAGGTACATTTACCAGTTTTTAAATAAGACAGAATGCCTGTATTACACTATGTTTTTCAAAGTGTTTTAGCAGCTTGGTTTGTTTCTAAAGTGGTAACAATAATTTCCAGTTGAACCAATGGAAAATGCTGATTAATCAGAGACTTTTCTGCTGTGGTTACTTGCCCCATGAAAAAGGACTGCCTGTGCCAAGGCAAGGTTTACTTATAATCTATTTATTAGATCACTTCCAAAGCAGGCTTCCTCGTCTACAGAAGCCAACTGATGCAGTTACTCTGACTCCTCTGGAAGGTCCTGTGCAGCATCCACGAGTTCTAGAAATCCAGTACAAACTGTGAATTTTTTCATACAGCCTGGTGAAGTTTAACGGAATTCTGTCAGATACTTGCTATATCTGACAAATACACAATATATCTTGTAGTAGTAGTTACTTATAGTTATGACAGTGACTCTCTGCTTTTATTTGCAAATCCCACCCAGCGACTTGTGATGTAATCACATTATCACATAGTGGGAAAAGTTCTGTAGAAAGTGGGCAGTAATACTAAAGTGTCACTTGTGTCAGCAAAATTATTTAGGGCCATTTAATGCATCATGTTCCCTTTGGCAACTGTAAAAAAAATTGAAGAAGTATCATTTTGGATCTGACCAATGGCCCATTTGACCTAGTAGTCTCTACTTAAAGTTCAAGGTCATATTTTGCATCCCTCATTGGTGCCATTGCCCTGTCTACATCCATCTTTTGTTCCACAATGATTGCACCGAGCATCGGACATGTGAAAAGCCGTCTTTTCTGTACTACAACTCCCAGAAACCCATAGGTTGTGTGGCCAGTCTGTGAGCTGCAGTGCAGAACAAGTAACTTTCAGTGTCTCATCAATAGAAGGCAAATCGATCGTGGATTTATCGTAGCGCTTTAAAGAGGGACAGATTTACTTCAGTGTGAGGTTTCCGTAGATTACAACGCACTTCCTTTGAAACCTGCCAGTGAAATAGATCTGCTTCAGGTGCCACAGTGTGTGACTTTTGTCCTTATTCTTGGCTTGCTTTTGCCATACGCCCTGAAACAGACGAACGAGTCTCTCTCTGTGAAAACCACACTAGACTAAAACAAGCAACTCCGCGCAATATCCAATGCAAACCACGCCGCTCAGATCTCGGACGCGTCACTGTGTGGATACAATTCACCCGGTTTTCTGAGGAAGATGCACATGCATCTGTATTCGTAACAGCAGCCCGCGCGCCCCATTCGATGACACCCCCCTGCCAAGACAGGCGCGCGCGGGGCTGACGGCCAACGCTTCTTCTGGGAATAAACCTCATTGGTCCGCGTGATACCGAGGTTACACACACACGCACGCGCGCGCGCACACCCCCGCCGTACCTCGCAGGGGATCCCCGCACACCATCCGCCTCGCGCTTGCGAGCACGTTCTGCCTCTGCCTGCGTGGACGCGGAAGCGGATACAGGCACAGAACGGGAGACCTTTCTCTGGGCATGCGCAGTAGGTTTTGCCGCGCCTCCCTCCAAGGCTGGGTCGTCACGTAACGTGCGGACGAGCTAAGGGTCTTTGAGAGGATGACCCCAAGTTGACCCCCCACCCCCACAGTCCAGGGCCTGAGATACGTGGAATTCAGGCCTGGAGCGACACGCGCGTATGCAATCCTTAGGGCTGAGGATGGGAGATGAAGGGGGAATCCCAGGGCCAGTCGCCCTTGCGTGCTGACAGTCCTCTGAGTTGAATGCCCGCCATAAGACCTCGTGACGAAAAGGAGCCCCTCTGCACTCTTGCAGGCGGCCGGCCGGGGGAGGCGGTATCCCTTGTCTGAGTCAGGCCGTCACGTGTGAAGGCACCCTGCTCGGCGCTGCGAGTGGTTGCAGTCAGGAAAGCGAGCGAGGGAGGGAGGGAGGCGTCCCCCGCGCCTGCCTATTGGATCCGCTTGGCCGATCCCGGAAGGAGGTCTTAGGCGAGGCAGCCACGTCCGCCGGTGGAACTCCCTCCCCCCAGGTGGGGCGGCAGGAGGTAGGTCGGTGCCCCCCCGGGGTGCGCCCGCTGGTTTGGGATGGTTCGAGAAAACAAGAGAAGTCTACTGTAGCTTTCTTCCTGCAGAAAAGGTTTAGGAGCGTGAGATGCCCTTGGCGGCGGGATTCTGTTTCTCACACGCACGAAAAAAAAAGATTACATCGAACTTATGGGGTGGTTTGGATGGGGTGGGGGTGGCCCCACAATTTGGCTCCTCGTGAGGGCCCTGAAACGGCATCCCTGGCCAAGCATTTGAGGGCCGAGGAGGAGCCAAAGGCAGCCGAGACCCTTTGGGGTCCCACCCTGTATCGCGTCCCCTTTGATGTGGCTCCATGAAAGGTACATTAAAAGGAAATAAAAGGGAAGCGCCCTTGTGCGTAGGGGTTGGGTAACTGGATGGCAGCGAAGCTGTCTTCTATCTCTGAAAAGTCTTGCATTTGGGGCTTCTGGTTGTACAGCTTTCCCACTCCAGCGAGACAGCTGACATCGTGTAGGGCTTCATGCCTTCAGCACTTAGGAGACCAGAGTTCAGATCCCCACCCACTTAAGTGACCTTGGGCCAAATGGACTCTTAGTCTAAGCAACCTCATCTAAGGGTAAAAGCTGCAGGGAAGGATACCCAGAGTTTTGAAAGAAGGCTGGGATATACAGTAACTGTAATATATTGTCGCAACACCCCCCCCCCAGTGACCCCTGTGTTTTGCCCCTCACCCAGGTTCACCTTTGGACATGACTTGTTCTTTACCCCTTTTTTGCTGCCACCAGAGGATATTCTCCTCACTATATCAATTATGAGTCTCATACTCTTGCTGCCAAATAAGGTTTATTGAAGCATTAATAAGTGAATCACAGAAGGAAAATAATGGATGTTCTATTATCATTCATTCAATAAACGTGGATTACTTATCAGCTTGCTTATACTCATTTACTTTAATCAAGATCTCAGTATTTTCTGACTGTCAATGTACTACAGTAGTGCCTCGCTTAGCAATTGCCTCGTTTAACGATGTATTCGCTTAGCGATGAGGTTTTAGGAGTGATCTTGCGCTCCGTTTAGCAATGTTTCCAATGGGGACCATGCCTCGCATAGCGATGACAGTTTGGGTCCCCCTATTTCGCTTAGCGATGTCCGTTTTTGCGATTTTTAAAGTGTCTTAAAATGTTCAAAAACTGTTTTAAATGCTTGGAATCGTTAGTGCACCTGGTAAAACCTTTGCAAACTTAATTTGGCTTTGTTCTGAGTCTTCGTTAATTTTTGGTGAATTCCCCCCCCCACTGGAATGCATTGACAGCTGTCAAACCTACAGTTCAATGCATTTCAATGGGGGGAGAAAAATTCACCAAAAATTAACGAAAACTCAGAACAAAGCCAAATTAAGTTTGCAAAGGTTTTACAAGGTGCACTAACGATTCCAAGCATTTTAAACAGTTTTTGAACATTTTAAGACACTTTAAAAATAGCGAAAATGGACCTGTCAAAACCATTGAAATGCATTGAAACCTATTCAATGCATTCCAATGGGGGAACCGTGTTTCGCTTAGCGATGTTTCCTATGGCGATTTTCGCTTAAGGACGGTAATCCGTTCCCATTGGAACGGATTATCCAGTTTTCAATGCATTCCTATTGGAAATGGTGTTTCGCTTAGCGATGTTTTCCCATAGTGATGTTTTTTTTGGAACCGATTAACATCACTAAGAGAGGCACCACTGTAATTTCTGTTAACTCTTTAATATTCTCCAACTAACCAACTGTCCAATATCTAGTCTAAACACTTCACAGTCTTCTCTCTGTCTAAATGCTTCACCATCTTTTTCCTAACTGACTCTCTGTCACTCCCAGTTTTCTTGACTCTGCCCCTCCTGTCCTGTCATAGGCTCCTGCACTAGAGCTCTGAACTGTGAGATTAAATGTAAGAATCAAAGCAGAATTAGATTATTGGGTTTTTTAAAAAACTTGGGGGGTTGGATTCTATACCCACCCTATGTACCACATCTCACCTTATTCTGCAGGATCTCTTCTTATCTGTGTAATTTCCTGGTGGGCCCTCGACTTACAAACTTAACCCGTTCAGGAAGTCCGTTCGTAACCCGAAAAGTTCGTAAGTCGAAACCAATTTTCCCATAGGAATGCATTGAAAACCATTTAATCCGTTCTGGCTGTTTTTGGTTCTTAAGTCGAGGGGCACTTTACAAGTCGATTCATTAGTTCCCATAGGAACTAATGCAAAGCTGCTTAATCCATTCCTACCACTAGGGGCAGAATTTTTCTTTTTCCCCTTTTTTCCCTTTTTTTGGTTCGTAACTCAATTCCGCGTTCGCAAGTAGGGTCTATAGTTTCCTATGAGATCGGGTTTGTAACCTGAAACATTCACAACTAGGGCCATTCATAAGTCGAGGGCCCACTGTAGATAGGTTGTGTGTGTGTGTGGGGGGGAAGTCCCCTTTCCACTAGCTCCAGGTGAATGTGCTTAAATACTGACCTAGACCACTGAAATGTACTATGTGTTGATAGCATTCAAGTTAGGTTGGGGATTAAAAATGTAACTTAAAGATAACTCCTGCAAAAATGAATATCTGTTTCAGGAGACCTGTGTTACTAAGATTGTATTTTTGTTTTGTTTTGTTTAAAGAGTTCGTTTATGGACATTGATAAAAATAACAGTTCAAAATAAGAAAATTTTAACAAAATACAATGGCATCATTGTATATACAATATTATATGCAGTACAACTGAAATACTATAATCCCTGCCCTGCCCTACAGTAAAAGCACTTACCAAAATCACTTCAAGTAATCAATGTACAGTGGCACCCTGCATAGCGACGATAATCTGTGCAGCGAAAAACGCTGCAAAGCGATTTCGTCGCTATGCGGAAATAAAAAGCCCATAGAATGCATTAAAACTGATTTAATGTGTTCCTATGGGCAAAAAACTCACCTTTAAGCGAAAATCCTCCATACAGCGGCGATTTTCACTGCCCAGTAAATGAGGAATCCGGGCAAAAACACAGCGGGCGGCCATTTTATTTACCCGGTGGCCATTTTGGAACCGCCAATCAGCTTTTGGGAAATCATCGCTATGCAATGATCGATATGCGAAACAGGATACTGATCATCGCAAAGCGATATTTTCTTATCTAAACCATCGCAATGCGATCGCAAAAATGATCGCAAAAATTCATCACTATGCGGATTCGTTGTTAAACGAGGTGCCCGTTAAGCGAGGCACTACTGTACTTGGATATAGTTAAAGGTACAGTTAAGGGTGTGAACACAGAAGTGGGAATGCAGAGAATCTTGTAATCAACCATCCTACAATATTTGGCGCATAACCTAAAGATTTGATAAGTAGTTTGAGGTAATACAATTATTGATTTGTTCTGCTACGTCTTGCCTAAACAAACAGTTCTTCTGAAAGTTCTAGTCTGAAACACTCTTTCTATGTAATTGAAATAATTGTTTCTCTTATAATGTTAGTTCTTGTTCTCTCTCCTCCAAACTTTTTATGCATTGTTGCCATTTGCAATATGTTTGCCTCTGGTATTAACAGTGGTAGTATTCCTGTTCTATTTCATTTCTTATAGAAATGGATGTTGAAACACTTGCCAAATATTCAAAGCTGCATGCCAAACCTCCAGGCCTCTCCCTCCAGTATGGAACAGCTGGATTCCGTACCAAGGCAGAAAACCTTGATCACATCATGTTTCGCATGGGCCTGTTGGCTGTGTTGAGGTCGAAGCAGAAAAAGGCCACCATTGGTGTTATGGTTACAGCCTCCCACAACCCTGAAGTAAGAGAAATGCCTGTTTTAGAGAAGGGAGAAAGGGGATGAGTTATAAATGAAGAGGTTGACATTAAAACTCTGACATCAGTGGTACGCTTTTAGATTAATTGAATTGATGGGAATCCATTGGGTGAGTTAGATGAGCTCCCTAAATTGCTTGAGCTGTTGCTGAATTTGCCTTGTTTTGTGGGAGTGGGAATCTGGATGAGATCTAGGTTTAATTAAACTTGGTTTAAATTAAAAAAAACTGCTGTGGCTGGCCTTATTCTAATTGTTTGTATCTGAGTCTCAGTGTTCCTTATCTGTAAAACAGGAGTGCCAACAGACTGCTTTTGGCCATGCCTTTGTTAGAGTAATGTGTTAGAATCCTTGTGGAGTCGTGTGTTGCCCAACGGATGGAGAAAATAATTGACTGTACCTCTGGATTAACAATTTAGTGTTTGGCAGACTGTAACAGTCTAGGAAAAAAACAACAACCAGGCAAGTCCAAAAATAGACCTTACAAACCTGAAGTCTCTCTAGTCTGCTCTGAACATTTCCTTCATATGCATGCATGTCTTGTGCATTGCTTCTAAGAAGCAAGTCCAATATACGTTTGACAGGGCTTATTTGTAAAGAAGTGTGCATGGGCTTACAGCTTTAAATACAATTCTTCCCGATGGGTGGAGGCAGAGCATAATTTTCCCAATTTACAAAAAAGGTGATAAATCCATCCCCCAGAATTACCGCCCAATCAGCTTACTGGATATCAGCTCCAAGCTTTATACAGTACCTGCTTTCTTTCCCAGAAGCTGACTACACGGATGGAGGAAAATAACGTCCTTTACCAGGAACAAGCAGGCTTTAGAAAGGGACATAGCACAGTAGATCAAATCTACGTGCTACATCATCTTGTGTGCAAATATACCACCAGGCCATTCAAATGGCTGTTTATGGCTTTTATTGACTTCTCCTCTGCATTCGACACAATCACTAGAAACCGCCTGTGGAATAAGCTCACAGAGACCAACATTGATCAGAGACTCCTAACTCGAATTAGAACTATACTCCAACACAACGTTGAGGGTAAGGATTAGTACAGATGGAAGGCTGACAGAGGAAATTCACACTAATAAAGGGGTAAAACAAGGATGTTTACTCGCACCCCTACTTTTTAACTTTTACATTAACAACATTGTAACAGCTTTAAACCATCCAGACCATTCCGCCCCCTCAATTGGGAACTATAAGGTTGCGTGTCTCATATATCCTGATGACATTGTTCTATTATCCATGAACAAAAAGGGACTGAAACGAAGCCTAAATAAACTCCAAGAGTTCAGCCACCTAGAGCAACTAAAAATAAATTGCACAAAATCCAGAGTGATGATTTTTGGAAAGCATCCCCCCAAGTTTAGCTGGACTATAGGCGAAAAAAAAAATAGAATAAGTCCAGACCTTCAAATACCTGGGAGTA